CATCTGCTCATAAAACTGAAATAAGTGTGGGGATTTTTTTTAATCTAAATCTAGTGCCAAGAGACAATATATCACATTCTGTGTCAGTTTTTGTTGGTTGTTTTTTGGTGTGGGGTTTTTTTTCCCCGTCCCCCACTTTTCTTATTTTTCACAAGCCAGACATTCATTTCACTTAAGTTCTATTGACACTTTGTCTAGGGATGTATTCTTGGGTATAACTGTGGATTAGTGTCTTGACACTTGCTCATCCAAGAGGGATTCTGAGGAAGATCAAGCAATCCTGAAAACTTATTTTCAGCAGAAGCAGGAGAAACAGATCAGGATAGCATTCTATGATACCACTGGAATATTCTTCATTTGCAATTTCATACATATTCCTCCAAAATAAAGTAAGCATCGTCACAGCAAAAAAGTCTGGGACCATACAAATCTCATCTTCTAGAAAAGCTGTCTTAAGTGTGGTAAAAACTCCCTGTTTTTCCAAGTGCAGACAAACCACAGTAGGCTGGACATTATGAAAAGTTCTTTGAGGATGATTATCCCTTTAAATAAGATCTCAAGTGAACTTTTCAATACTGTTAAAAAAGTTTAGAATAACCCCAAAACATATAGGAAAATAAAGACTAACAAAAAAGTCAGGACTTTTATATTGTTTTGTCTGAAAATTTATGACCTTGCAAAGAAGCCTCCATGACCACAAACAGAGAAACTGCTAACAGTGGAAAAAGAAAGCAAGGAAAAAAAACCCCAAAACACCCTAACCCAGAGGATCCAAAGAACCACCATTAGAACACAGTATTGTATTAGAAACCTTACCTTACAGATCATGTCTCGGAGATCATCTTTTGGGCTTGTCCATGATGCAACAGCATCACAGAAAAAAATAAAGTCCTATAGGATTAAACGATCACATGGATTAGAAACCACAATTTATACGTCTGAAAACAACGCCTGATGTTTATTTTATGAACCATGCAGGGTATTTGATCCTAATTCATAACTGCTTTACTTTTGATGTATTTATTTTCCAGTTACTGTCTGAATTAACATTATTGTATGTCTAAGTTTACAGAAACAGAAATAGCTGACTGTATGAATAGCTTTGTTTAATTAGGTTTCTGATTAAATTAAACCACAGCTAAAACTCCTCCTCTCTCCCCCCCCACACCACACTTGTCTAACGTTAATTTTTTCAGTACACGTAACAAGTTCCAAGAGCTGATGGCCCTTGTAGCAAGCAACAGACCGAAGACCAGTCACAACATGCAGGGTCTCACACACTTCTGTTCCCCTATTCTTCCCTACAAGAAGCTGGGAGGAGACACAGGTAGGACGGCTGACTCAAACTGACCAAAGGGACATTTAATTCCCTAGAATGCCATGCTCAGTGTGTAAGCTTGGGGTCGGACCAGGGGTGGGCTTGCTCTGTCCCCATCCCCAGCTCTGGTTCTCGGTTGGTTTGTGGGTGGTCGGCAGTTGTATCATTTGTTTTATTTTCGATTATTTGTATTGCATATTATTAGTATTATTGGCATCAATATTTTCCTTAATTTACTTTCATTATTAAATTGTTCTTATCTCAACCCACAAGTTTCCTTGTCTTTTCCTCCAATTGTCATCCTCTACTGGAAGAGATGAGGATGAGGTGCAAGCAGCGGTGTGGTACTTAATTGCTGGCTGGGATTAAACCATGACATGGAGACACTCAGTGTATTTATCAAACAGGTTTAAAACTAAATCCACCCAGAATCCCTATACTTGGTTCATCTGCTGACATGCATTACCTCCTACAGCACCATTAAAACATTAATCATTAAGTTGATAATACACATGTTTTGAGGTGGGAACTGAGGATAACAACTACAGAGTAGGAGAAACGGGATAATGAAATGAGTCATCAATTATCCTCTCCCCTTAAGCTATGTGAAAAATCAAAAGACAGCAGAAGAGGGAAATGCTAAGCACAGAATAAGGCATAAGTGAAGTCAACTGAAAATTTCAAAATAAGGTAGAAGCTCAGTTCGTGTTTCAGGAAGAATTCCAGGATGAGGAAAGGAGAAATTATCTTCATTTTCCTCTTAGAAACTATTACATTGGTATAGCTTTACCAGGAGAGGTGTGGAGACTAAAGAGTAAGTCATATTCCAGTCTTCAGACGTACCATCTCTTTAAGAGATGCACGTTCCTTGTCAGACTGAGTACTGAAGCAACATATCCAATGTTGAAAAAGAATCTTTCATACCCAAGTTTTAAGAATGAAGGGGTGGTTACTGGTTTTGTCCTGTTTCTTATTTTAAAAGCCTAGGTTAGATCTAGAAAATAGATTTAAGTATGTCAATTGTTGCCTTATATTTTCATACAGATCTTGACCTGTATGAAACCTGTATGAACCTGACAGAAGCAGCAAGATACAATTATTTTAATCTGCGTTCATTAAACTGCACTCAGCAATACTCTTGCTCCTTTCATTTGTTAGGTGATAATTACTTCAGCATCATGATACGTATCATTCACAACAACATTCTGGCCTCTTTGACCTCAAAATACAGCTGCAACGCGTACTGCAAGGAATCTTAGAATTCATCAAAGCTAAAACTTCTTCATACTGCATATACAGCTTTCAGTAAATTTCACGAGTAAAGAAAAGAAGTTAAGATCTATTCATATATCTTACTTGGACTACTCCACTGGGGTTGACAGTGATCATGGTACATATCCCACGGAACGCTGAATCCTTTTCCTCATTGTCTCTTATGTTTCGCAGAGAGGTGCACCTAGCAAGTTGGAGAGCAAAACTTAGCTAACTATTACTTTTTCTTCAGTCAAGTCAGAACTAGATGACAGTATTTGATGGAATAAGTCACACTAATAAGATGATCTGAAACACTATTTTGAACACTTAGAAAAACACTTGTTGCAGAGTCTTTACTAGCATATTCTCATTAGGCATCATCTCCAGAATCTTGTCCTCCCGCTGCACTATATACAATTCGAAAGTGTGACCTGTATTCCATTAAATACAAAAGAAACATGTATCTGAAATATTTATAGAAACTACCACTATTAGAAGCAGAACATGTAATACTATCACAGTATGAATTATGTCAGATACCACTTACAGAACAGTTATTTAACTTTTACAGCAGCAAGCAAGCTATTTCATACATAACAAATCTATCAACATATATTCCTTATAGCAATTCAAGCCTCAGACTGAATTTTAAGTAAAGTAATGCACGGTTTAAATTTTACAGTATCTGCATGCATTGTATTATCATTCTGGTGGATTTTAAAATGCTCTTTCATAGTCAAGCTTTAACACAGCAAGCATGTGACAATCTTATCCCATGCATAAATTAGTCGTTAGCCACAACATAAAGAATACATGACGGTGCTACTAAAAACTCACAAACCTGATAGGACAAGATTAGTCACATGGTTGGCAATGATTAAGGATTGAGATTTTGTAACCAACTGAAAATATATCTAAAAGTGAGATAGAGAGAAGAAAGAAAGAAAGAGAGTGAAGAAAAATGAATTAAAAAAAAAAGATTGAATAATACACACCAGGGTCTTATAAACTGCTGTAGCATGGGGGCCACCTCTTGAGGACAAACGTAACCAAGACGACCAATTGTTATTGCTAAGGTAACGCAATCACGGTTATACACCACCAAACGCCAACCAAGACATGAGCAAATGAGGGGGGAGGAGAAAAAATAAAGAAAAAACAACAAATAACTCAGAAACAGAAACCAACAGAATCTGTGTATGATAATAAACATAAGATTTCACCAGTGCTGTTTATTACCACCCCCTAAATAAGAGGCAGCAACATATATGGTATACTCTCCAGGGTAAAAGAAAAATTAAAGTAGTAAATGAGAGAACACCAAAAACACAAATTTAGAACAAAGGCTTTCTGACGTAAGCAGTCACTCTGCCCTCTTCAGAGCAATCTCTTAAATTTACCTACTGTACATTTTGAAGGTTTTATTCAAATGTGCTATCACAGATACTCTTAATGAAAAGCAATTAATCATTTTTAGTTGTATCAAGTATTCTAACCTTTTTTCCCTCAATATTTAGAATTCAAGATTTTAATAGATCTACTCTGACAGTAAAAATACATTTATAAATACTTTTACACAGAAAATACTGTGGTCTATCTAAAAATGTTAAATAGGTCAAACACTTCTCAAAGAGCATCAAATACCTGTCTTCTTCACTATCTCATAGAGAATTTAACTGGTTTAAGGTGGTTGCTAACCCACAGTAACTGACTGCAGAAAATTAATTCTTTATTTTCCTGTTCACAGAAGTCATTATTATAATCTGACTTCTGATGCTAAAGCGTAAGGACACATGAAAAGCAATATTCCTTCATCACATGATTATGTAGTTTGGTCCTTTGTTCTGAGGGACAGACTGAAGAAAATATCATAATGCAAATGTGTTTTAATGGTGTTTGCTCAACTCACAGAAGATTAATCTTTAGAAAAAGGAGAGGGTGGGAAATAATGTATCAGGATTACTTGAAGCAAAATACATGAATAATACTGAAATCCAGCAGATTTATATGAAGCAGAGAAAGGAAACCTATGTTCAAGGGACATACTATGCAACACTAATTAACAGGCATTTGTGAACAGTTTCATGAAACATGCAATAAAGCAGATGATGCTTTCTCCAATAAAAGTTTGGTGTAGGATATACTAGCAGTATGTGAAACATACTCATTCCATGAAAGCTGCAGCTCACTGGTAACATTCTGTTTTGCCCTGATGCTACTCAATTTCAGTATGTGGCATCTAAAATTTTTGGCAGATCTAACTTTCAAAACTGCATTTGAAGTGCTACTTTCAAATGAAAACACACTTCTAAGTTTTATCTGTAAGTTCTCACAGCTACAATCTGTACAAGGAATAGTAATTTCTGTCAAAGCTCAGCTTTTTGGCATGTACTGGTTATCTTCTATGCAATTGCTTTTACTTAAGGTGGTCTCATGTTTCCATAGAGATATTTTCATAGCTCATTACAAAAGCAAGCTAATGCAAAAAACAGCAATATTCTTGCACATACTAGTGTCACACAGCACAATATCCCACAACAAACTTATTATAAGTACACCACACTCAACATTTATTTGCAGTTATGCCCCCCATTTAAAGTAACTATTAAGAGAAAAATAATTAAAAAAAAAAAAGAAAAGAAAAAGGTCAGTGTTTGGATGCTTCCAAAAATGCTCTAACAATGGAGGAAGCAAACATTTAAGTACTGGATGCCTCTCAGCTATAGGTATTACACATCCATCGGTGAAGAGGAAAGGGGTCAGGGCAGGAGCAGGGGAGAAGAGGTTATATTGCTATCCTATTCTATTCCATGGTAATTTTCAAAACAAGTAGGCATTTGCTCCAAAATCATCCATTTAAAAAGTAGTACCTATAATATGCCAGACAACTAGGTAATTTTTCCGTCAAGTTCACCTTCCATACTAAATGGGGGGATGGGAAAGAAGGCAGAGAAAGTGAAGCTTTTAAGTTTAGAGAATACGAGAGGAAAGACAGGCACTGACAATCTCTCTCCAATATGGATTTTTTAAGCTCTAAAAATATAAACTATAGGACTGAATTTGCATAATTTTCAATCATGTCAGATATAATGACTAAATTTTCTTACAATAGTTTTCAAAAAGAAAAAAAATCTTTTAGTAAAACAGTAAGCCAAAATCATGTCAAATTTCTACAAATTACTAAGAAAGTTTTGCTCAAGTATGGAAGGTGCTCTTCATACCAGAACAGGCCCTCTATAAATGCAAAAGAAACAAGCCTCAGAATTTCTGATTCAGTAAGACATTCAGGGATTGCCCCCAATTTGAAGGCAAAGCTGTGAGCCAGAACACAAAACGTGCATGCCATTTTTAGAATTCTTTTTAGAAATTTGTTATTAAGCAACAAGAACAGAATATATAATAGAAGTTATACGTAATTTCAGCTAAGTTGTGGTAAAACTGCCATCACAGATCTAGATTTTTGTGCATGATATTACAGGTTTATTTTAAAGAAAAAAGTGCATTTTTTGCAAATTCAAAGAGTTCATTATTTGTTTTATATATGCCAATTAGATTTGTTTCAAAAACTAGACATATATATACAGTACACGTGTAAGGACATGCATATATTAAAAATCCGTGTGAACTGAGTCTGTAAGTGTTACTGCATACATTTGTCATTCAATATATAAATCAAACTGGAAGAATACTTAATTAAATAGAAGATAAATAAATACAATGAATCTCATAGAAGTGAGGAAGCAAGAACTTTTAAGAATCTAGATATATGATAGATGGTTTGCTGCAAGACTGAGACTTGTAAGAGCTTCTGCAAAACAGAGTTGCTTTTGCTTATAAAAGCCAAATACATAGCAGTAAAATCAGTTCTGGTGTGGTTCCCCTAAGCAATTTTTTAAATCATTATTTAAAAAAAAATCTATAATTTCCTTCACCATGTACGGTTCAGTTTTTGGGTACCTGTGTTCTCTAACAACGTCTTTGGTGTGTTGGGTCTGTTAATTATTTCTACAAGCTGGTGCAACACCATTGGAATATAAGGCTGCATCTCTATACCTAAAACGGCAAAAAAAAAAATTCAGAAGAAAATGACCATGTAAACAGATTGGGAACATTGAATTTAATAACAATGTCAAGAATCTCAACTTTAGTTTGGATTTTACCATGAAAGTATCACTAAAAAAACCCCAGAGAAGCCATGCTGAATATACTAAACTGAAAGAAAAAAAGAAATCTTACCCATCTGGATGGAGATTTCTCCAATTGCCCAGGTGGCATTGTTACACACAGAAATGAACTCAGGATTTAGGTTGGTTCCCAAAACTGGCATGAAATCAGCTAAAAAGAACAACATTTTAAAAATCTCATCACACAATACAACCATCTTGTCCCATTACTGTAAGACAATGGGAGGTGGGGTGGGAAGGGAAGACAAGTGTTTTTTTTAAAAATCACATAAGCCTATGGAAATGCTTGGAAAGTGTTACACATGAATTAACGAGAGCTGTATTTCTGCTATGTATCAGATTAACCTGGGTTTTAGGAACTAAGCAGATCAATGCAAATGTTTTCAAATTAAGGCTTTAAAACAGGCTTTATATAACTTTAGAAACCTTTTTTCTTCCCTTCCCTTGCTGGGGCCAGGGTAGGCAGTAAGAAGACAGAGTGAAAAACACAGAGCTACAAGTACTTTCAGTTTTATAATGTAGTAGGACAACCCTCAAATCACCTGGATTGCCATGTATTCAGCTATGTTTGAAAAAAACAATGAACCCTAGAAGACAATCACATCGTTGATTAAGTTTTAAGAAAAATTTGTCAATGATACATTAGAATATCTACTAAATAAATTTCAAATTCCAAGTCTATACAAGCATTCATTTGGCAAGTTGTACATCTCGAGTATAGGCAGGAAGAGATAGCAAATATCACGGAAATATACAAACTGATGCTACTTCCCTACTGAAATTAAAAACAAAGCAAAAAAAAAAACCCAAGGCAAAAATCTAACCTCTAGCCAAGTTTTCTATTTTTTATATATATATAGAGGATATTTTATGTGACAACAGATTCCAGCCAAACATAAGCTATAAATTCAAGAACCTATTGAAATAATCAACTATTCTAAACTGAAGTCTTAGTACTCTGTTTTGTTGCATTCCATCAAAACAGGTAGCTTGTTACATTATAAAAACTCAAGGACAAAAATGAACTTTTGCACTGTAAACAAAACCATGTCTTTTAAACACATAATTCAGAGAAGAAAAGAATACAGGCCCTTGCTGATAAAAGAAAATGAAGACTTAAAACACCGTGGAAAGGCAACCCAACAGAACAGGGAGCTTAACGATGGCTAAACCAGCCTCTTATCAGTTACTAAAAAAAGTTAACTGTTTAATATGTAAAAGAAACATACCGATGCAAGGCTTAACATGCTGAAAACACGCCTTTGTCAGATCACCTAACAATGCAAAAGAACTCTGCCGTACCTCAGGCATTTTATCCTAAAGAGAGGAAGAAAAAAAATGACAATTCTAGAAGTGTTCTGATTTTCTTAAGAAAGAAAATGCTTGGATCAAACAGGTTACTTATCTCACCTGCATGCACTGGTACATTAGTGTCAGGATATTGCTGCGAGCCACGAGCTGTTCAATGTTGCCTCCAAGTCCTTCAGCTAAACCACTGAGTAAATCAAGAGCCACAATCATGAAATCTTTATCTGGAGCCTCATATTGGTCTGGTTGAGCATTATGCAACTGCAACAAGTAAGCATTTTCAAAATTAATATTAGATTTTCTCAGCGGTATGCATAAATAAAGTTTCAGAACTGCAGATTCACTTAGATATTCAATAGTTGTACTACAAATCTCCCTGCAAACCCATACCTTTTAGATAGCTAATATACTGATTTAAGCCAATATTCTGAAAACATTGGAATAGCAATAAAAAAATACCATGGCTTGTGCAAGGGTCTTCTGCACCAGATTTACACAACGCTGGTACACAGGTTCACAGTATGAAAAAAAGCCAGATTGCAAGGCAGTAGCAACTGACGACAGGCACTGGGATTAATAGAAAAAAAAAAAGAGAAAAGAGTCACTAACTTTTTTCCTTACGTCTATGAAATTCTTTTTATGCAGAAGAGGAAACTTAGGATATTACCATCTAAAATATATTCACATGTAACTGATTAAGTAAACACAACCTAGAATGGCAGTACTGATCAGCTGAGACAAGGCAAGTATCAACAAATTGTTACTCTCTCCTAAGTATGCCGTCTGTGAAAGTTTCTCATCATCAGCATCTTCTTAGAGGTAGTCAAGAAAGTGCATACTAAATCAGTTATGATAATTCAGCCAGCACTTACTAAGTTTCAGTATCTTGACGGGCCCTAACGTTAACTAGGAATTATGAAACAAACTTCTCTACAGATGCTTTCCAGCTTCACGTTCGTGAAGTATAGAGAACAAGCTACGTGGTCTAGTTCATACCTTCAATTTATCTGAAAATGGGTTTAATGGACAGATGAAGGGAGAAGGTAAGAATAAAAGAAGGATGGATCAAGAAGAAAAAAAATCTAAAATGTTTCTGCTAAGCTTAATGACATTTACTCAGTCACAGGGATTTTTTTTACAGTCAGAATATTTTCTCTATAATGGGTAATAGCTAATACTGTCAGGTTTTATAGTCATACTTCCTAGTAGAAGTACTTAATACTTCAGTAGAAACTGTCATTTCTAAAATAAATTGATAAAAAATATTCAAATTTTAACATTTACCTCTAATAAAGGGAAGAGATCTTTATCTTCATCCTTCAACATGTTCCACTTCTGTATTAATGGAGGCATTAGCATCTGAATATATTCCTGTTTAGGATGAAAACACATCAGCTGCTGAAACACTCCACTGCATACTATTTTGTTTTAAAGCTAGAAAATTGATGTATTAAGAATTGATATATATTCTACTTCTTCAGAAAAAACACAGACATACTGCAATGCAATCAGTCTTGCAATATGCAGAAGTAGTTTAATATTACAATTTGTGTCTTAAAATCTTTGGCTGAAGCCTGTAAGTATCTTTGCAGAGTGAATTTTTCCTCCACGTTTGGTTTCAGTGTAGCTGCCTGGATTGTTACAAATCTATACGAACGCCTCAGGGCCTAGGGAAAATGTTTTTACTAGCAAGGCAACCTGGCTGTGCACCTGCCACCCTCACTTTTCAACTATTTTCCATTGCCCTGATGTTAAAATCCTAACCCCCCCAAGTTCCTGAAACTTCTCCCTCAAGCAACTAGGCACCTGTGAAGAAAGTAACTTCCTATCTCTCCAGAAGGATGCATTTACCCCTCCTGTATAAAGCTGTTGCATCTTTCCTGCCACTGCACAGCCACAGTCACAAGAATGTTGAGCAAGGCATCCTGACAGTACTGTTGCTCCCAGAAGGTACCTAAAAAGCCAACAGGTGCTGCCAGCTAATGTGATGTCCAAAGACAAAAAATTCTAGCTGACTGTAGAAAGGCCTACTATCATCAGGAGCTCCCATGTAGCTTCCTCCTGGTGCTATCAAATGTCAAGATAGCCAGGGCCAGAGCGACTGAATAAGAGGTCCCTTGATTATGTGGGGTGTTGGATGGCATGTAAAATGCCATGGAAACCACTCAAATTATCTTATTCTAGAGTGTCTATGTCACGTGAAGCAATATAAAGAAATAAAACAGATTTCAATAGCCATTGCAAGAAGATGAACACGTGACACATATACAGTCCATCAACATATGTATACTACAAAATCCACGTATTTGCCTGTGCTTTGTCCAAAGGATACTTTGTTTTTATATATAAAATAAGTGCCTGTCCATTAGAATCATAGAATGGTTTGGGTTGGAAGGGACCTTAAAGACCATCTAGTTCCAAC